TAATGAGGTCAGCCCTTCGAACTTCATTAGCAACAAAACATCCATTTTTTAGTTCTACCTAAAAAACCTTCTATGTCTCTCGTCTCTCTATCTCTCTCTTTCACGAAACCAAATGGCAAACGATTGATGCTCTCTATCTCTTCTAATCTATGCTCGATCTCTTTCGCTCAAGCCCAAATCCGAAGGCATCACTCTCTTAAAGATAATATTTGAACTATATATATATTGGAATAACTCGTGTCTAAAGGCATGGTGCAATGTGAATAGTTGTAAAAAAGATGTTAGTGGTTGTTGGATGAATTTATTTGAAAAAATTGGATAAATTTATTAAAACCTAAAACCTACCCTGTTTTATATTATAGATGTATATGTATATATGTATTTATATATATACACAGACACACATATCTATGTATATATAGCAATATATATGTGTGTTTGCATATATGTTTATGTGTGTGTGTGTGTTCTATTTCAACTATACTTCCAAAAAATTGGTATGTGTGTGTGTATCTATAATTGTTCTATACTAATTGTTGAACACTCCAAATTTTGTAATTTTTTGATAATTGTTCTATACTACTGGTTCTATACCAATGATGTTCATAGGAAAATGTTTAAGCATATGTTCATGGTTGTGTGGGTGTGAATTTGGTCTATGTGTGTGTCAATTTGAGTCTCACATTGTGTCAATTTGTTGTTATTTGTGTCAATTCAGAATCTTTATTCATCCTCATGCTATTCCACTTGTTTTATCACTATTGTTAATTGGTTGCCCAAATTTTGTATTATCATTAGATAAGCATGAACTTCATAGGGCACATATAGTGGATATTTCTCTTACCCAAATTGTTTGACATATGTATTCTAATAGCAATACTTCTAATAATTGCCGCAAGAATTCCTAACTTGAGATGGTTCAGTGGTGGATTTGCCTAGGCCTACTAGTCTTGAAGATCTTTTCAATTTTTTCTTGGACCTACTTATGTGATTCAAGTATTTTGATTTATCACTTACTTGATGAATGTATATGTAACGCCCCAAAATTCATCCCGGAAGTGTTATTAACTAAAAATCATCTAATTATGATAGCAACTATAATAATCATTAGATAATAAACCATTCATCCATTTGACAAATAATAAATAATAAAATCAATAAAATATTGTTACTTCTCCAACTTACAATTCAAAACCAAATTGTATCTAGTAGTAGAATAATTAAAATTAGTTGAAACATTATTTCACAGAAATCTCTTAAACACTAAACCAAAAAATAAAAAAATCATATTCCTCTAAGGTAGGGTTCACATCTTGATCCTTTAACGACTCGTAATCAATCTGCTTATCCACATTGATATCCTCTTCTATACCAAAATCTGTAAGTGTATTGTACGGGGTGAGTAAAAGCTTGAAAAAAATCCCTCTCAAATCCCAAAAAAGTTTTAAAACAATAAAAAAAGGCAAGTATCTTTTGGAAAATAGCATATATAAATTTTTGAGAGTAAAATCATGGCAATTACAATGATCTCAAGTGTATGGAATACAATAAATCAATGACAGGAATAAACATGCAAGAAATTAAAACAATCAATAAATAACTCAGTAACATCAGCTCATATTCTCATTTATGTTGGTTGCTTCTTAAAAATCTATATAACTATTATACCTCGTCCATACACCACAACCACACGATCTCAATTATTCCCCACATGGCACATCACNGTTGGTTGCTTCTTAAAAATCTATATAGCTATTATACCTCGTCCATACACCACAACCACACGATCTCTATTATTCCCCACATGGCACATCACAAACAACTTTAGGAAAGACTTATAACGTCTCTCACGATATTGACAAATCTTTCCCAAGAAAGATATATTATCCCTCAACGTCGAACCTACGTGCAAAATAGTTGTTACTGTCACAAACAACAATCTACTACAAGTGTTAAGCAACCATTTCACCCCCACTAGAATCGATTAATCTGTAACACTCTACGACAACTCTCAAAGGCAATTCAAGTCCAATACACCCAAACCATACAAGAAATGAAATCACAATTTTCTCATCAACTACAATCTTAACCAATCATAATTTTTATTAACAATTCAAATATCACAATTTCATGATTCTCAATATACTACAGTAATAATGAAATTAAAATATACAAGAGATCATATCAAGAAAACCTTCATAATTTCGATATTCAAAATTTTAGGATTTTGCCAAAAATCATAATTTTTTAGAACAAGAACAAAAACCTAATTTAATCAAGAATATAAGTTTAGAAATTAATAATCTATATATTTTTCACAATCAAACATGTATTTAGCAAACTAGGATTTTGAAAATTCAAGAACAAGTATTTCTTGAACCCAAACATATATTTTATTAAAAACTATGTTTCAATAATAAAGAAACCAAGAACTCATAAGTATTTATCATACAACTATTAAGAAGATTAAAAACATATGTAGATAATACTCTAAGTCTCAATGAAAGAACTCAAGAAGAATCTTCTATATTGATTCCGTAGTTTGTACGTAAACCTAGCATGTTTAATTTGTTCCAACGTAAGAATTCTCCTTCAATCTTGTATTTTTTTTCTTCTCTCTTACTCTCTAAGATTCTATAGGGTTAATAACTGATGAAATAGGATTAGAGAAGAACTAATGAAATTTTTGTAAAATCCACTTTTGTAGTTCTAGAAGTCTAGTGTCTGCTATAAAAATTTCAGATCAATCAGACATCAAAGTAGAAAGTTATGATCCAAACACTAAGGTAATATCAAATTCTTTCCTACCTGAATTCTTTTTAAAATGCACTTTAACTCTGAAATACTTCCTAACTTCTAATACACCTCATATTACATCTCCCAAAGTTTTTATTTCTACTCTTATGATCTATATAATTCATTCTTATGTCATTACAGATATGAGCATTACAAAATAATTACGTCACTAAATTAAGATAAACACGTGGGAGTTTACAGTATATATTGGGACAATAAATTTTGATTTGTTTTTTAGCAAATAATTAATATAAACCTATTAAATATGATATAAATTGAAGTAGTTACCAAACATATTTTCTATTTTAATTTTTATAAATTTTCAATCAAAAATGACAATCAAACAAATTTTTTGCTTTCATTATTTTTGAAAATTGAAAACTGAAAATATTACTAAACGCACCCTAATTGCATGGGGTGGTGTGATCGGTGGTGGGTGGAGTCAGCATAAGGACAGTCGATAATGAGGATTACATGGTGTGTGTGTGTGTGTGTGTCTGAACTGAAAGACAGAGGGAGAAAGATAGAGAACCTTGGCGAGATTAAGGAGTTGGTTGTGGTGGTGGGTGATTGCAGTGGTGGTGGGTGTGTCATTGGCGTTGAGGAGAAAGACGCAAAGAGAAAATGAGTTTATAGAATTATTTATCAATATATGTATATACACGCGTACATTTACTTGTATATAAGTATATGCGATTGTATTTAGCTAATTCACTTTATATCTGATATTACATATATACCCTCTTTTTTATAAACCTAAAGACATAAATACCCTTTAATGACATCATGGGTCAAGCACGTGCTATTTTTCGTCAATGATTTAAATGAAAGTTAGTGCAAGGGAATACACCGATGCAATGTATAAATTTTGAGAATTAAATTGACGAAATTAAAAGTTTAAGAACTAAAGTTCTGTAAGTGGTAAACATTAAGGATTATTGGTATAATTTACCCTTCAATAAAAAACCAAAAAATTGAGAACAAGTGAAACCCACATAATTTAATAATTATTTCATCCATGTGATATAATAACTATCACATATAAAAAAAAATAAAAAAAAGGGTAGAATTTGTCTTACCCATTTGTTATTTTTTCATAAATGGTAATACCATAGCGACAACAATGATGTCATATAAAACAAATATCTACTCAAAAAACTTAAGCTGTTGGAGATGATGTAAGTTAAGTATTTATATTTCAACATTTTCCTTCATGTGCAAGCTATATTTTGAACTTAGCACATAATTTTTTTTTAATAATTAAGGTGACAAAAAGGTTTGAACACAAAATTTCCTACTCTTATACTATATAAAACAATCATTTACTCCATAAACCATGAAGTTATAAAAGTACACAAAGTGAAATAAAATTTCACGTGAACTGAAGTTGTGGATCACCTACCCAAATATTAAAGAAATGCATTAAAAGACCTTTTGGAATGGTGACAAACACTAACTCGATATGTTTGGTGACTATAATGCGTCACATACTTATTAAAGTTTACTATTTATTTGACCTTTAAACGATATTATTTGCATTAATCAAGTTTTTGAATTATATTTTGTATTAATTTAGCTCTTAAATTATATCATTTGTGTTAATGTAGCCCTTCTGCCTAAATTCGCGATGAACTTTGACAGAATTCTTCACGTGCGAATCACATGAGTCGAAGATTATAGTATAATTTAGAAATCACATGCTGTGCACGTGAAGAATTCTGTCAAACTTAATGACGAATATGGACGAAAGGGCCATGTTAACATAAATAGTATAATTCAAGGACTAAATTGATACAAAACAAAATTTAGAGACTTAATTGACACAAATAATATACTTCAAAAGCCAAATAAATAGTTTACTTATTAATATCGATTTATGGCATGTTTAGGTCGACAAGAATCATACCAAAAGCCAAGATGCCAAAATTGCTGGTTTGAAACCGGCTCTTGATACCTTTGCAGTTGTGCTTTCTCTAAATGGTTTAGGCATGCATGAAAAGATTTCCATTAACAATCCACCCTGGATTTACTTTCAAATTATGTTGTTCAATTCTCAATTCTCAATTTTCGAGGTTAACAATTGACTTAATGACCATCGTCTCTGTCAGATCTTAAAATCGCAGATCCGAAACCTCCTTTACTCTTCCTTGTACTAGTGTCTAACCAAAAAAATTTCTCTATTCAAATAATTTATTTGGATACATCTCGCTTCCATTTTCCCATAAACAAAAACACACACACACACAGCAGTACCCTACCAATTAGGCCCTTAAACCAACAACAATTAAACCTGATTTCAGATCATCAAAACCTAACATCAGATTACCATCTTTATCTCAACTAATGGTACATTATATACATTTCCAGAGCAGCCTAACATGAGAGTACTTTGATTGTACTCCTGGTAAACTACACACTGAAATGTCATTGGCACTAATTATACAAGGAGGTACTCTATGATCAGGGCATAATGTACAGCACTGGTAATTGAACATAATTTATATCATGAATGTCGAAAAACTAGGCCGCCTAATTGAATCAAAACTCCTACAAACAAAAACACAATTATCCAGCTACTCCATTTGCATCCAAGAAACATATTTCATGGCTTGCTTGGTGTCATCACACGTTGGGCAGGCCGCATCGAACTGTTCAGTGTGGCATTTATCCTACTAAAAACAACTTTAATGGGGACACAAGCTATAGAAGGGCCCTTCAGTTTCTCTACCACGGGTTTCTTCTCCTCTTCGCTTCGCCCGTGAGAACCCGTTAGTGAAGATAGCTTCCGGATCTTTTTAGACAAAAGACTATTTTTCCTTGACTTGGGTGATTTTCTTGGTGAAACATGTGATTGCGAGGTAAGATGCTTGGCAGGAATCCTTCCATCTGAATTTGGCCTCATTACATAAGCCATTTCAACACCTTGCAATGTATTTTCACCCATGTCGTCATCTAACTCACAGCTGCTACTGTAGCATTCGGATCCACTAAATAGGAGATCAGAATGGCCATCATCCAAAACCTCAACTGCAAGAGGGTGGCCTATAATGGGTCGACCATTCAATTTGCTCATGAGGGAAATATAAGGAACATGCTGAGGACGATAGCTGGCTTTCACCTCCAGATTAACGTCATACAAGGACAAATCAGCATTGTAATTTCTGTGGGGAAAATCTGAAGACTCATATTTTGGATTGACTGTAAAACGGGACTGACGATAGGGCAACGACCTTTGGGGAGTTAGCCCCTCAGCTGTTGGCCCTCTCATATGAGGTTCCTTAGGAGAAACATGCCTGGTCCAACCTCGAAATTCCTCAATCTGGGTCTCTGTAGCTGGTCTGAACTTTGCTCGATAGGTGCAGCTATTTGAAGTGACAGATCCACCCATAGGGTTGCCATCAACTTTTTGGCCGAAGCCAAGAGAATAGACATCCCGTGGCTCCATAACTGTCAAGTCTTCATCAGGTTCATCATCCTCATCCATAGATTTTCTCAAAACTTGCTTCTTATTTTTACTCGTGTTCCTAGAGTTCCTCTTTCCTTTTGACTGCCACTTTGAAGTACCTCCTCTCTCTATCTGATTGCTGATATTATTAAGATCAGCAGCCCCAGAACTGGTAGAACCAGACTCATTTAATTCCTCATTTCCCAAAGATACATTTTCAACTTGACTGCTTTGACTCGATTGTGCTCCTGCACCAACCTGTTGCTTTTGCAATGCACAAGATACAAATAATGGAGAGAAGCCTGGAAGAAAAATCAACATATCAGAATGTGTAAACATGTTCGTTCAAATGAATCACTGCCAGGCACCATTAAATACAAAGGGAGTGGGAAAAATGGCAGAGTGAAGTAAACACCACCACAGATAAGTTGGAATAAATACAAACTATGACGACCATTATGATTTGCTCCACGAGAGTTTTGTAGACATCAGAAAATCCAAGAGCATTAGTGGACTGCAACTTATGGAATGAGGTTAAGGAGTAACACATATTGCTTACAATCCCCCCCCCCCCTCCCCTTTTTCTCTGTCCCCCTTTTTTTTAAAAAAAAAGAAACAAAACAGAAATCCTTTAAATTTTTGATAGGAAACCGATTGACTGCTAGCACCACAGCCCCACATGCAGCAAACAAGCAATAAAAAAACATGAGTGTAATAAGTGCCACTATACTCTTCATGATCAGGGTAAATGGTATTTGTCACTAGCACTTCCCTAAAAGCAAGAACATAGTCCAGTGATGATATAATCTGCAATGCTTGTTTACAACACCACGGAATGGACTCAAACTAAATTTACCCTATTTTTCCAATGACTGTGAGCAATATCATCTCAAGATATAAGAATTAGTTTATCATTATGATCAAGAATACCTCCACAGCTTTTTTCCTCCCCAACAAATGGCACATCAAATAGCTTGTCAGAAGAATCATTCTCAAGTAACCCTGACATGCTGGAAATTTCATTCTCCTTCTGTTTGCAATTAATAAGAGAAGCATCACCAGCATGTTCAGATGCATCTAAGGAGTTTCCATTCTCACATGAAACTCCTGTACTATCAGAGTTATTGTTAATTGCCATTGAAAAACTTTTCTTGGATTCATTAGAATCTAATCCAGAAACCTTGCCGTCAGATACTCCCAGGAGAGATGATCCAGTTGGACTGCCAAGTTGTTCACACATAACAGGAACAGAAACCATGGCTGTACTCTCCAAAACCTTTGTCAAAGTACGTCGACGGTGTTTCCTTTTCAAGAACTCATGAACGTGCGCCACTTGAGACCTCTTCCTTTTTGATGACACTACACCCATCCCAAGATCCTCCAGTCCCCTCATTCGCTTAGTTCCTTCTGCTCCATCATCTTCTGAATCATTCGGAGTTCTACGTGGCCTACCCTGCACAGATTGCTCCTTAGAAACACCAATATGATTAGGCTCCTCAAATGATACACCGGATTGAGACAATTCTTGCACTGAATTTGATTTGTCTTCAGAAATACTCAATTCCTCAGTCGTATCGTCAGTGTCTTCGTCAGAATGCAACTTGGTGGGCGATTCTTTGACACCATCTTGTTCCCCAACTTGATTCTCTACTTTTGAGGAGAAGTCCGGATGAGTTTTGCATTGGCGAGTACTTTCAATCTCAAGAGCGTGGAGAATCGCATCTTCCCTCCGAGCATATTTCACAGCTTTCTTAGAAGAATTAGCTGCAGCAGCCTTAGCTTTTTCAATGCAATCATCATATTCTCCGCAACGAAATGCCTTCACACGCTTAGATTTTTCAAGATTATACCAATCCCTAAAACCAAAAAAAAAAACAAATCTTGTCAAGAATGGAGAACAAAAGGAAAGTTATACATGCTTGTAATTGTAATAAAAACATTTCACCAATACATCCTTTCATATTGCATACAGAATTATTTGACCTCGTCTGTACATGACACAATTCACAAGTTGTTCTCATCAAGGAAAAAGGGTTTCCTAAATTACAATACAAATCTCTAGCTCTAACCCCTTTCGTATGTGCAATGCCTACTTAAGATATCAATATCTAAATTTCTAAAATACAAAACAAAATCTTACCCATTGACTTCAAGAAATTGGATATGGTAATCAAATTTAAGGAAGTAAACAAAATGAGAACTTACACGCTTGCATCATCCCTACCCAGAAGCTTCACAGGAGTCCCCAACCTCGGTGAAACCAAACAGCTTTCCGGCAACTCATCCTCACTCAAAATCCGGCCAGGCCACCAGGACCCATTTCGACGCCGGACCCAAACCAAACCGCCGACCGATGCATCAATACCCTTGTTGGGCTCATCAGAACTCCCCATATCTTAGAAACACAAAAAGCCAATTTAGAATCTAAAAATCCAATCTCAACCCTCCATCTTTGAGCACACAGAGTCCCCAAAAAAACCCACAAACCCTCCTGTATCACCAAATGCACATGCCCTCTTGGTTCTTACTGTAAAACCAAGCACACCAACAAAAAAATCCAACCCTGCATGCAACACGAAACCAAACTATATCTGAATATATAAAATAAAAGATTCAACCAAAACATAAGAAAACCAAATCACAAATACATAGAAAAAGAGAGGACAGAGAAAAACCTGGAGGGTTTATAGGGGAGAGAGACAGATCTAGTGGAGAGAAAAAAAAACGAGGAAAAAGTATGGAATTATTCCTAGAGAGCAAGATCTCGTGCGTTTCATCGTTGAACAAAATCTACAAATCCTTCCTGCTATTATTTTCACTTTTTCTTTTTTCAAACCATGCGTGTGGTTTCAGAGAGAGAGAGAGAGAGAGAGTACAACAAGAGCGGCGAGACAAGAGACAAAGTGGGTTGATGATGAAGAATGAAGTAGAGAGAGCGGCTTTGTTTGAATATGGATCGGTCTTACCTTTTGGTATCTTCTTCCCAGGCGAGAAGGAGAGCGAGCCCTTCAGTTTTTCAGAGAGAAATGAGAACAGAAAATGAGAGAGAGAGAGAGAGAGAGAGAGAGAGAGTGGGAGAGAGATTCTGTGGATTTAATATTGTTAATTTATTTTTTGAACAAGAGAGAGAGAGAGAGATAGTTTTGATCAGGCACGGGTGGTGATACGTTTACAATTTGTACACATGTCCCACTTTCTGTAATTGGGCCCACATTTACTCTTTAACCGGGTGGTGATAAGCTTGTGACGCATAGTTGAAGAAGGTGACTATAATAAAGAGGACGTGATTGAAGTCTATCCACGGTGACTTTTCACATTCGTACCTTAATTCCATGTGAGTAGAAACTTGCGAATAAAAAGGTAGAGAACAGTAGTCCTCGATTGAGGATTTGAGCTCTTTTTAGGTTTTCCATACAGCTTCAAGAGAGTTTCTGCATCCTCGTCCGGATACACATTAAACTTTGGTAGGAGAAATCGAGAGAGAGAGAGAGAAGCCATGACTGGTAATTGCTCGAAGTGATTTGATTTTGTCAAGATGTTTGTTTGCAGTTTTAGTTTCGAAAAAAGTTTGATTTTTGGTGTATATTTAGTGTTGATTTTTGTGATAGTAATGCAATTGTTTCAATCTTTATAATTCCTAATGATTTAAGGGTTTGAAATATTTTGTATGATTGATTTGTTATTGATGTAGTTGCTTTAATATATAGAGGACTGGGTGGATTTTTAGGGAGTCACCGATACCCAGAGACTGCAATGGCATCTTTTTTTATTTCTTTTTGGTAGTAAATCAAATGGGTGTTGTTCAATTTATCGTTTGATGGACGTTTAGAGGTTGATGGTTTCTTTGTCGAAAGACTATGAAAGGTCTTTGAGGATGATTGAAAGAAGAATGCTTTCAGAAAATCACATATAAAGGCGGATTCTTTAACTAATTCTGTAGTTTTACTTTGATTGAAATTACAGTCCATTCACCCAAAAAAAAAAAAGGAATGGCGAAGTTTGCATCAATCTATGAGGCTCAAATAGACTGACTGTACAGTGAATTGGTTATTCTGTGTAAAATAATGTGTAACCAACTGTTTACAATTTACTCGATGGGAAAAAATTAAAAAAATTGTTCCCAACATCAGCTATAGCTGTACTAAATCATTAAGACAGACTATGTGCAGGAGCAGGACATGGAAATTGAAGCACTTGAAGCCATACTTATGGATGAGTTTACAGGTTCCTGAGACTTATGGCTCTGGAAATTCTTGTTTTACTGGTTAACGTTACTGTTTTCTATTCTCAAATTCCGACATGTAATCAATGTGCCTTTGTGGTGGAATATAATTCCAGAATTACACTCCAGTGAAAGTGGACTCAACACTTCAAATCGGTGCTTTCAAATTACAATATCTCCTCAGGTATGTACTGTGTTTTGTCTCATTTGCCTTTTCGACTGATGGTTAACCCACATATTATCTATAGTGCCACATCTTTAAGAGAATTAAGTCTAGTTATTAAACAGCAGTGTTGTTTTTTTCTCATAGAAGAGGAATTCTTGCTATGGTTGGTGGGAACATCTACATTAGTGAGGAAAATCTTGTTCATGGTTTGCATCTCAAAAAACAATATTTGAAAACTATTTTTAAAAAGAGTTTTAGAAAACTGTTTTGGTGTTTTTTATGTCACAGAGCTTGTTTGATTAAATGATTCTAAAAATTGTACTACTGAATATAAAACAGTAAAACTTGTTTCGACAATAATCCAGAAAACAATTAAAACATAAATGTGGTGATGGTGGTGGAAGCGTGGTGGTGGTGGTGATGGTGGGAGTGTTGTGATGGTGGTGGGAATGTGTTGGTGGTAGTGATGGTGGTGGTGGTGGTGGTGGTGGTGGAAGTGTGTTGGTGATGGAAGTGTGGTGGTGATGGCGGTGGTGTTTTCTAAATTTTGGAAAGGTTTTTTCCAAAAACACCCAAAATAGCCCTAACTTGTTTTCTAAATTTTCCTACTTTTTTTACTCAGTTTTCAAAAAATAAAATAAACAACAACTAGTTAAACAGCCTTTCTCCTATAAACTATTTCTAAAAATAGAAAAACAGTTTTTCATATGCAAATTAAACTGAGTCATATTCTCTTTCTTGTTTCTAAGAATGATTGTTTTAACACTTCAAAATTTTTATATTCATCTATGTTTGACAGGATGATGAGGCAGATGAATCAACAACCCCTCCAGGTTCTCATTACAGATTTATTGCTGCTTTTCCCTCTTCGGAATATTTTGGACCCCTTAATAACCTCAGCTGTTGTCAAATTCCATTGCAGCTCAGTTGGGTTTAATTTTCTCTCATACCGAAAAATATCCCGATGAGCCACCACTTTTGAATGTAAAAAGGTTATTGACTACATCCTTCTTGTGTGCTTAGCAATTCACAAGTAGCAATTTTTATGTTCTTTCCTCCACTGTTTTATTATCGATAGAAAATACCCCATTATGATCTTTATTGTACTTACTGGTGTGATTTGGTGAATTTTTACCAAACTCTTGAATTACTGCGTAATATTATCCAAGTAACAAAAAAGGAAAGACCATCAGTTTTCATTAACTACTCAATGGTTACAATTGCCATATCTAAATAATAGCATCCCAACATATGAAACTAGTGTACTAAGTGAGTCTACTTGTAATTACTGCTCAGCGACAGCCCAATGACGATAAATAGTGTGAATAACCATTAGTTTACCCCTCTAACTGCCAGAGTTTCAGTTCATTACTTGTTTATTAGGTTCACACTGTCATGTTTTTCTCTAAAAACTATTCACAGCTACAGGCAAGATTGCCACCTGATAAATTCTTCAATTTGTTGGTGGGTCACTGCCACAAAACCTCAAAATTATCACATTTTGTACACTTAATAAAGGGTTAAATTGTCTAATTCACCCAAACTCCTATTCAGTATACATGGAGTATATATTTATGATAAAATTTTGCTGTGGTGACCTCTTGATTGGTTGTTTTTCAGTTTAAGAGGAATTCACACAGGAGATCTTAAAGCACTGAAAGAAAAGCTTGAACAAGAGGTAGATTTTTAAGTACCGTTTATTTTATTTGCAATACACTCTTTAGCATATTTACTGTCAATTAGTATTTACCACACCTCTTTTGTATGTAAACAAGGTTTGGCTATTTGTGTGGAGTTCATTGGCAATTGAATATAGTCGGAATGCCTTGGGAAGTACAAAAAATACCTGGGGCAATTAAAAAAATGAATTACTGATATTTAGAAAATGCTTGGAGTGCACCGATGCACACTCAAACATAAAAAGAAAAATTAAGTGGCAACACCATGAGCCTCTTTGGAATCTAAAGAATTGGACCACTTAAGTCAACTGAGCTCAATAAAGTCTTTATTGCAATTATTTGGATTCATTTACATAAATCTTGCTTCACCATTGTGTTCTATAAAGAGTCATATTTACTAGTTAAACCGTGATCTATTTTATCATTTTTTTACTATTTAATTCAAAATTAATTTTGGTCTACTTCTATCTCTCGTATTATAATCAATATATAGCAGATCATTTTTCTTCATTAAAGTCTAACTTTATTTATCTCCTATTGATGTTATTTTTATGGTTTTCGCGAATATACCGATTCCTAATTCTACCCGTTCTTGTTTTACCACCACGGTTTATTTGCATTGCCCTTTGGCGCGTGATCTTTGGAATAAGCTTTTTAACTATGCAAATTTGTCTTGGGTGTCACCAAGGGATATGAGATCTATGTATTGTCTATCCCATATTGCATTTGGGGAAAATAGAAAATGGAAGGTTCTTTTGCATAATACTTTTTTCGCTACTTTATAGGTGATTTGGAAAGAAAGGAATGCTATAAATTTTTAGGATAAACATGAAGAAGTTGAGGGATTATGGGATATAATTCATTTTTTGGCTCCTTTTGGACATCAAAGACCAAGGAATTTGATGACATCTTCTTCTTCTTTTTATTTTTTATTTTTTTTATTTTGTATTAGAACAAGTTGGAGAGCTTCATGTGGGTTGTAATTTTATTTTTTTTGTATGCTTTTCCTTAACAGTCATTGTTTTGGACTGTTTGTCCATCATTGACTGTTTTATTTTCATCTTTTTTGGTTGTCAATAAATTGTTGTTTTTTATCGAAAAACCATTACATCCTCGTCTTTGCAACACTTTATTTTTAGTGTGTTGTATCTTAGTTGTCTAACATTGTTGGTCTCATGACTGTGTTATAATGTTTACATTTTAACTACATCGATCACATGGCACGTCAGATGCGTTCTTCAATTTAGTCTATTTTGCTTTAATTTTATATGTATCTCATCTTTTCAATCGGTCGCTCCCAAAAGGTAATTGACCTAAAATACCAAAAGTGTTCACTCTTTGACCATTAGTTGTGTCAAAAAAAATGGAAAACTATTTATGTTTCCTTTCTCTTCCTACCCCGGGGTGGTGGCCCCTTCTCCTCTTCTTGCTTCATTCCCTAATGGTGAGTGAGTTTTTAAAACCCTATGTAACACCTTTAGGCAATGTATGGTTTAAGTATAACATTGTATGGGATTGAACAATAAATTCCATTTTAATCCATAGTAGTGGTAATAATTGGTCAACCACTTAATCCTATGCTAACTAAATCATGTTTGGATCAAGATTTGAATAAATTGTGATCTCATTATTCTAATACCAATCTCATGTCTGGATAAATGAGTAATGAATGGTGTCAAGTTAAAAAAAAAAAAAAAGGACCCTATGTCAATGCATAAATCTTTGGTCTATAGGGACACTTATCATTTTGGATATTAATATCAATCTTGCCTTGTATAATACCTCCTATTATATGTATTGGNTTAAAAAAAAAAAAAAGGACCCTATGTCAACGCATAAATCTCTGGCCTATAGGGACACTTATCATTTTGGATATTAATATCAATCTTGCCTTGTATAATACCTCCTATTATATGTATTGTTTTATACCAAGTATGGGGTGTGAAATGCCATTTTAGCAACTTACCACCGGTACTAAAATATCTTTAATGCCGTGAGTTAAAACTTGATCCAAACTTGTTATTAAATAACAATTGGATTAATTTAGTCAAATCCCATTCTATAATATCCCAAACAAACATGATTATTAAAATCCTTTAAGAGAAGACTATTGTTGCTGCTAGCAGCCTAGCAGATATTCAGTGTTTATAATTTGAAGCGATCATGCACTTGATGCCGCTTTTGACTAACCCTTTTTCTACAGGCATCTGAGAACCTTGGTATGGCCATGATCTACACACTCGTTACGTCAGCAAAAGAGTGGCTATGTGAAAGATTTGCTCAAGATACTGGCACTGAGAACACTGACGAAGAAGAGGCGGCAAAAGAGGATGTATGCTTTTTTGTCCTGCCTTTATTTCGTTCTCCAAATATTTCCGCCATCAGTGTTTCCCAGCAGTGTTTAGAGTTCTAGTTTGTGCATGCAAGACTTTCTAATTTTCTTGAATTGTTTCCCAGCACATTTTTAGTATTTTGGATGTTCGTGTTAATAATAATTCCATTCTAAGTGATTAATGGGTTTTACCGAACCTCTCGTGCCCCTTTGCATGTTCAGTTCAGTTAATTTTATTCTACTCATGCATGTAGAGTGACTGACATAGCTTGTAATAGCCTTGGCAACAGAACTGTTTTCTTGCTCACTTGTCAGAAGAAAGAAAAAAACTTTTTTCTTGTCCAAAGATTTAACATTCTGCATCCTTACTTCCAAACAAGTCATGCTTGTGCTTGCACAGGCACACTCTGAAATACGAGCAAGTCAAAATCATTGTAAACTTTTATGGGGTGAATAATCTTTTTTTGGGGATCAGTATTGGTACAGTGCATAACATTGTAGATGTGTATCTGATTGTTAGTTGCCATGCATGGAGAGAAGTCCCAATGGAGTATTGAAATATGTACCTTCGAGATGTGGGGAGACATGATAGGCCCCCATCAGCACACAGACTCTATGCAGTCCAACTGACCACTGGTACATATAGATGCAGCAATGAGCAGTTGAATAGGAAAAATTTTAACAAGCTGAAATATCAAAATAGACTAGACCATTTGGCCATTATCCAATGATATCTGTAGATAGGTTAAGAAACATGTATAGGATTCACTGATGCTAAAAGTAGGGATGTTGGATGGGTTGTGGCTTGGTGGAAATAAATTAACTTCGAAAATGGGTGAGGATGTGGGATGATAGAGGTTTACTGAGTACAAGGTGGGAGTCCTAATGAGAAAGCCATGTTTTACACAGCAAAAACCCCGGTTACTGATTCCGGTCAGTTGCATCAACTATTTGGTCTGTGTGATTCTTGACTTCATAAGTTGGAACAGTCATCAAAAATAATGGAAGGTAGTAAAAGAGGGTGCTATTTTGTTTCCTTTAATTCTGTGTATCAACTTTTCCATTCTAATCTAGAAAAAATACAAATTGCAAAACAATGTTCATAAAAGGCCCTTACTTGGTTTTGGTCTTGTCAATCTTGGCCAGTTAGATTGGGGATTGAGTTAATTGTACATAGCTGTCCAATCATACATGTACATGCACTCGTTCACTTGAGGCACTTGACAGCTAAGCTTTTGACATTGCAATCTATTTTTGAGTTGGTAGGATAGTAAGGGAAAATGTGAATCTTATGTGTTTGTACATCTCTGATGCCTCCATTGTCATTTGACCTTTACACTTACATATTTAGGTCGCATCATATATTGATTTCAGATAATTGTACCGCATGGAGAACCAGTCACCGTTGATACATTTCTAGCATGGCGAGAAAGATTTGAAGCAGAATTAGCGTTAGAGAGAGCCAAGTAAGTTTCTGCATTAGTCTTCTATTTGGAAAAAGAAAAGCAAAAAAAGAACTCATCTTCAAAGCAAAGCAATGGGTAATTTTGTCTATGCAAAACACATGACAGTTAATATGATGCTCTATAGTGCAAAAGTAACTGATATGGNAAAGCAAAAAAAGAACTCATCTTCAAAGCAAAGCAATGGGTAATTTTGTCTATGCAACACACATGACAGTTAATATGATGCTCTATAGTGCAAAAGTAACTGATATGATACTAATTTGGGTGGTTTAAAGTGAACCCAATGGGATCATGGAAGATTTCTGCACCCTTACAAGCCATTGATAGTTTTAAGGGAATTTTGCTTCCAAATTAAGCACCTATAAACATTAGGGGTCTTGCATCTGTGGAATATGACCTAGATTGCATGGGAGCAGTTGGAAGATTAGCACTCCAAGAATGCAGAGAGAAATGGAGGCAGGGGGTGATGGGGAGAGATTGGTACACAAATTTACACCTTGGCAGTTTCATGTTCTGTCCTTGCTGTTGATGTTTCATGTCATATAAAATGCTGGTCAATACTTTTTAACAGAGTTAGTCAATGTTATCTGCTTGCTTTTGAGCCTTTATCTTCATGATAGACAACCATGCTCCAACTGTTAGGTTAATGCCCGAGTCAGCACTTACAGCACCCAAGGAAAAGAAGCTCTCAGGCAGACAGTGGTTTGAAAGTGGACGAGGCACTGCGGTACTTTATTCTGCTCATGTCCTTCTTTTGTTGTGGATGTATTCAACTATATCTGCACTTTGATTAATACTTGTCATGGTTTTGGGATTTGGTGATTATTTTTGTTGCTCAAGTTTAGATTGGATTGGTTGTCAGAATCCAAAGAAAATTCCAGTGGAAAAAATTGGCTGTAGAGTCACAATATTTGACAGAATTCAGAAAATACAGTGTTAAAAACGGCACTTTTAGCGCATTTTTATTATTTGGTCAAAGTTTGGTTTATCTTCCTTTAAAGTCGGTCAGACTGGGTGGTTATGCAAGAATTTACCAGGGTACCAAAGAAGAGCAACTAAGTAGTTGCTCACTGGGTATGTGTGAAGGAGTGGTATCTCCGTGGGCTGGGCTCACTAGGAAAACAAAAAGATGGGAAGTGTGAGTTTTGAGGTCTTTGAGCTTAAGAAGGATCGTTTTGTTGGTTTGACTAAAGCTCCCTATAATAGATTATAAGCCACGAAATCAAACCACTTCTTCACAGTCTCTACACCATATGAATGGTAGTATGATGATATGGTTGTTTTTATACCGTATATTTAATACTGAGAGGTTATCATTCTTTTGGGGTGTAGTTGTGTAGAAGATTGGGATGATGATAGAATTTGCCAAATGTATTAATTGAATGTTTTCTCTTCTCGTAGAAAGGTGCAGCGCCAACCACTGAAGGAACTGAGGACGAAGATGAGGAAGACATTGACTTTGATGATGATGATGATTTTGAAGGTGATGATTACACTGTGGACTCTCCCCTCTCCCACCTCCTCTCTCACCAAGTCTAATTGCTTACATAAAACAATTCATCTTTGTTTGCAGATGACGAAGAGGATATGCTTGAGCACTATCTGGCGGAGAAATCAGACTCATCCGCTCATTCTTCAGGGAGAGGCAATTAAAAGAAATAATATTTTGTGATTGGGCAACACCCGGATTTACTTATCGAAAAGAGTGACTGAGGGACACCGATATTTAGTTGGCTGTGAATCCTAGATGATTTTGGCCTTTGTATGGTATCAGAAAAAAGACCGATCCCTCAGGAATTCATACTGTACCAAGTTTGGGAGAGGGCAGGTTGTATGTAATGTAAGTGAATTTGGGTTTTAGAAGATGAGTTTTCTGAAAGGAAGAAAGAATCTCAGGAAAAACCTTTGCTCACCCAACTGTAAGAACTTCTGGCCTTAATGTTATCGTTCACCTGGTTGATTTTTTTTCTATGCTCAGAAATAATATATCGGTTTGTCTTTCTTGATTATGTCTACCCCTCATTGAACTCATCTTTTGGAAAATAAAAAAAAACAATTGTAATCCTCCTGGTTCTGGCTTGCAGATTGGTGCCAAAACTTGGGACTAAACATCGAATGGCTGGAATGTAGGGCATGACCATGGCTGTCAAAGGCAATAAGATAAACTACCTTCAAACAGTCTATGCATAGGGTTATATGAAATTTAGACAGCTATTTTGTGCATATATATTTTTTTTTTTTTGGGCTAAGTTATTTTGTGCATATAGTGGGCATGTTTAGAGTTTTTTTTACACTGGTTTGAAAAGTTTCGCAAAAAATATTAGAGTTTAAAAAACCTCTTAAAATCGTTTAGGGTGTTTTTTAAAAAGTTGAAAAAGTTAGGAAAGCAAATTTTGAGTCATTTTTTTAGCTTTTTTGTGTCAAAATAAATATATAATTATATGTATATATAAATTATGTATAATAATTTTTAAAATATAAATTTTAAATTTGTTTACATCACTAATAATATTTTAACAATATAATAAATTAAAAAGTTAGGTGGTNAACATCGAATGGCTGGAATGTAGGGCATGACCATGGCTGTCAAAGGCAATAAGATAAACTACCTTCCAACAGTCTATGCATAGGGTTATATGAAATTTAGACAGCTATTTTGTGCATATATTTTTTTATTTTTTTTGGGCCAAGTTATTTTGTGCATATAGTGGGCATGTTTAGAGTTTTTTTTACACTGGTTTGAAAAGTTTCGCAAAAAAAATTAGAGTTTAAAAAACCTCTTAAAATCGTTTAGGGTGTTTTTTAAAAAGTTGAAAAAGTTAGGAAAGCAAATTTCGAGTCATTTTTTAGCTTTTTTGTGTCAAAATAAATATATAATTATATGTATATATAAATTATGTATAATAATTTTTAAAATATAAATTTTAAATTTGTTTACATCACTAATAATATTTTAACAATATAATAAATTAAAAAGTTAGGTGGTACCTGCGATATATCTCCAAAAAGTTTTTAAAAAACTCATTAGTCTTTTGGGTCCAAAAACATGTTTACATAAATTTTCGGGTCTAAAGAGCTGCTGCATAAACTAGTGAAAAAGTTAAAATTCAAGTAGATCTAATTTAAATTTATTAATAATTTTTTTTTTTTTTATAAAATAACTGCATAAAAGAACAATGTAAAAAAAAATCAGAAAATAAAATTCAGAGCCGTCANTTTGAAAAGTTTCGCAAAAAAAATTAGAGTTTAAAAAACCTCTTAAAATCGTTTAGGGTGTTTTTTAAAAAGTTGAAAAAGTTAGGAAAGCAAATTTCGAGTCATTTTTTAGCTTTTTTGTGTCAAAATAAATATATAATTATATGTATATATAAATTATGTATAATAGTTTTTAAAATATAAATTTTAAATTTGTTTACATCACTAATAATATTTTAACAATATAATAAATTAAAAAGTTAGGTGGAACCTGCGATATATCTCCAAAAAGTTTTTAAAAAACTCATTAGTCTTTTGGGTCCAAAAACATGTTTACATAAATTTTCGGGTCTAAAAAGCTGCTGCAAAAACTAGTGAAAAAGTTAAAATTCAAGTAGATCTAATTTAAATTTATTAATAATATTTTATTTTTTTTTTTATAAAATAACTGCATAAAAGGACAATGTAAAAAAAAATCAGAAAATAAAATTCAGAGCCGTCATCTTTCAATCCAAATCTAAATAATCAAAGCTCTATTGCCGGTGTTAGCCAAAAAAAATGTAGTAATAATACAAACCCTCGTTAGCACCAAAAAAATATAAAAGTTAGCAAAATTAAAGAAATTATTTATGTATTATCTCTCACAAAAATTATGATAAAATCTCGTAAGCTCTTATTTTCTTTAAAGCTATACACTCACTCTATTGGATGAAGACTGATTAAATCTAAAAAAGAATTGAGAAAAGTCTAAAGAGAAGAAAGATAGGAAAATGAATAAGAGAAATACCAAGAGAAAAAATCCNAAAACTCATTAGTCTTTTGGGTCCAAAAACATGTTTACATAAATTTTCGGGTCTAAAAAGCTGCTGCAAAAACTAGTGAAAAAGTTAAAATTCAAGTAGATCTAATTTAAATTTATTAATAATATTTTATTTTTTTTTTTATAAAATAACTGCATAAAAGGACAATGTAAAAAAAAATCAGAAAAGAAAATTCAGAGCCGTCGTCTTTCAATCCAAATCTAAATAATCAAAGCTCTATTGCCGGTGTTAGCCAAAAAAAATGTAGTAATAATACAAACCCTCGTTAGCACCAAAAAAATATAAAAGTTAGCAAAATTAAAGAAATTATTTATGTATTATCTCTCACAAAAATTATGATAAAATCTCGTAAGCTCTTATTTTCTTTAAAGCTATACACTCACTCTATTGGATGAACACTGATTAAATCTAAAAAAGAATTGAGAAAAGTCTAAAGAGAAGAAAGATAGAAAAATGAATAAGAGAAATACCAAGAGAAAAAATCCAAAAAAAAATAATAATAATGTTTATAATTGTGTATAATCATGTTCATATTTTATGAGATTTATATTATGTATAAATTATGTTTAACAAGTTCTTGTTGCGTTTACCGTATTGATAGCATATTATTTACTAGAGAGGTAGACTCGCTCATTTATCGTCCAAATCTATTAATACTAAATACTCTCCTAATTTTACATTAATTTTGTGACATATTTGCCAAATATAAAATTGTGACTTGTGAACACTACGAATAATTAGTACGATATATTCAAATAACGAAAAAAGAAAGTCTTTAGCGTAAAATGATCCCATGTGATTCAACTCAAACTTTTTTTGGTGTGTAAGGCAATCTGACCATCCATGTAAATTTGGTTCGAGNAAGGCAATCTGACCATCCATGTAAATTTGGTTGACCTTGGCTTAGCAACGAATGAAGGGAAGCTCGAAGAGCTTTCTCCGCCAGCGGCTTATGTAGTGGTCGGCATTCTATAAGCGACTTTAATCAAATTTCTGTTTCAATTCACATCGTTGAATCCAAGAGGGAAGACATATACGACGAGGATGGATTTGCTAGAGAGTTGACATCAAATTGGCCTACTTAACCTAAAAGTCTACCAAAATACAAAGATGACAGATACCAACTTACATTTAAAATACACAAATACCCCTAAATCTTCTAAAATATTTCAGTGGGGACAATATCCTAAAATTTTGAAAATTTTAAATACATCCCAAAATTTTTTTAAATTGCAGTGGGGCAGATACCCCCACTGTAACTCCGCCCCTAGTTGAAATCCTTGATAGAGAATATATTATTCCATCGTATGCAATCTTCCCCTAAGCTTGAGGATTACAAGTCAATCATTATGAGTGAGATCGGTCATCCCTTACTCCATATGCGATCTACCCTAAGCTTGAGGATTACAGGTTGATCGCTATGAGTGAGATCAGTCATCCCTTACTCCATTTCTTTAGAATGGGGGGATGGTTAAGAACAGCTACTGCCATTCATACTCCCCCACTTCCTGCTCCGACTAGAAAAAGGCCCTACATAATACCATTATGTATAAAAGAACTCAACTTTCAAAAGGCATTCCAGCCAATTTCTGGACAAAAAAAATANTAGAAAGAAACCTGTTTTCACTTTTAGCATATTAAGCCAATTAACAATCAAGATGAAATATATTTGGGTGAACAAAGTCCAAAAGAATAATCATTTCAAAATAAACCACAGGCAAAGACATACGCAGAAAATCTACCAACCTTGAACGCAAGCAATATTATGTGCAAGTCTTTGCCTCTAAGGGGAAGTTTCGCTCATGTTTATGCATTCCATAATATGCTTCTATATAAATAAGCCAGAACTATTAACAAATTACCAACAACTAAATGAAGTTTGGCTCATGTGTATGCATGCTGCATACATCCCATAATATGCTTCAATATTACTCCCTCCGTTCCTAAATATATGTCGTTTAAGGTTTTTGCACAGGAATTAAGGAAGCTATTAAATAGCTCTACTATGAGTAAAAAATAATTGCACAAAACTAAAATACATTTATTCAATACGTATTGGGAAGGAAAAAAATAAGAAAGGCACTTAANAAGTCTTTGCCTCTAAGGGGAAGTTTCGCTCATGTTTATGCATTCCATAATATGCTTATATATAAATAAGCCAGAATTATTAACAAATTACCAACAACTAAATGAAGTTTGGCTCATGTTTATGCATGCTGCATACATCCCATAATATGCTTCAATATTACTCCCTCCGTTCCTAAATATCTGTCGTTTAAGGTTTTT